GTCGGTGAGATCAAAGATACCGCTTCGAATGAGGAGGGTGGAGTGTATCTATTCGAATGAAAACACTCAATCTGGAGCAGGGGAGCTCGTGTGACGGATCTGCACCCCACACATATACATAAATTTCATCCTTCCTCTGAACGTCGGCCGTTGTCAGAGTTCCTGAATCATGACCCGTCGCAAGGCGATACCTCCTGGTTCTTCGACAACTCAGACTATCACCAATGCCAATTTCTCAACAAACAGCACTCATGCAATCGATTGTGCTCCGCAGGTGACAGACGGAAAATGGCCAGAATCCCCGTCCCGTCCTCCCTCCAATCCCGCTTCCATACCGCCGTCTCCTCCAGGTAGTCTGCTCGACCTGATGGCCGGAACAACGCACTTAATCAACACCTCCCTTCTCCTACCAGGCCGCGGCAAGCCTCAGCACAACATGTCTATCATTCTCCAAGGCGGGACCATAACTTCGATCCAGCCCACAGCGTCCGTGCCGCCACCTTTCAAAAACCTCCCGACCACGACTGTCCCCGTCCTAATGCCCGGGCTGTGGGACTGTCACATCCACCTCCTCGGCAGCAAGACATTCAACTTCGCCGAGATCGCCACTCAGTCGACGGCGCTGGCGGGCGCCAGGATCGCAAGGAACGTGCATGACATCCTGATGAGCGGATTCACCTCGGTGCGCGAACTGGCAGGCTACGGGCTCGAAGTCTCCAAGGCGATCGAAGAAGGCACCCTCGTCGGGCCAAACATATACTCTTCGGGCGCCGCGATATCCCAGACCGCAGGCCATGGGGATGCCTTCGACCTGCCCTCGGGATTCGTCGACTCCCTCTTCGGGGTAAGGGACACTCAATCAAACGCGATGTCCCCGGGTACGGGACCGATGATTATCGCCGACGGGGTCGACGAGTGTCGGCGCGCTGTTCGGCTCCTGATCCGACGAGGCGCCAAATGCCTCAAAGTATTCGCGAGCGGCGGCGTGCTGAGCATCGCAGACGATCCTCTGCGGCAACAATTCTCGCTCGACGAGTTGAAAGTCATTGTGGAAGAGGCCCAGCGCGCCGGGAGGGTCGTCGGTGCGCACTGCCACGGCAAAGACGGGATCATGGCAGCACTGCAGGCGGGCGTGCACACCATCGAACATGGCACGTACATGGACAAGGAATGCGTCGAGCTCATGAAGAAGCAAGGTACCGTGTACGTGCCGACGCGGACAATCGTGAAAGTAGGCGTCGATCACCCGGAACTCATGTCGCCGGAGTCGTACCGGAAGATGCTGGAGACGGCACGACACCACCGTGACGCGTACCGCCTAGCCGTGAAATCGGGCGTCAAGATCGCCCTTGGCACCGACTTGGGCATCAGCACCCCCCCGACACATCCACTCGCGCACGGCCGGAGCGGCGGCGAACTCGCCTACGCCGTGAGCGACGGCGGCATGGAGCCCCTGCAGGCCATCGAGGCGGCCACGGCCATGGGGCCCGAAGTGCTCGGCGGCCTCGGCATGGCGCCCAAGAGCGGCAGGATTGAAGCCGGGTACGACGCTGATCTGATCGCGTTGAGCGCCGACCCGTTGGAGAACATGGACTTGTTCAAGGACCCGGACAACATCACGCACGTGTGGAAGGGCGGCCGGCTGTTCAAGAGTCCCATACCTGTCTGAGCAAAAAGTAAAAATTTGTATTAGATCGTCTTTCGTGAAATCTTCGAGGGGGCCAAATAAAGGTTCAATGGTTCGTCTATAAAAGCGGGCGTTCAGATATATTCTTTTCGTCTCTCTGTCTGTCTCTCCACACGTCTGACCGTGCCGAGTGAAGACTGAACTAGATAGAGCTAGCTTGGTGTTTTGGGATTCGACCTTGATCTGAGCAAAAGGCCAAGATGCCATGCCCGCCATGCATTTATCTGAGGCCCTATTCGTCTCTAGAGGATTCTTCTTTCCGCCACTCAAATACTAATACATGGGGTTGCCGAAGAGCATGCCTTCGAGCAAGCCAAAAAGCCGATAACATGTCTGAAATGATAATACTAAAATGCTCAGCACCTCGTCTCTGCTGCCCGGTTTTCAGTTGGGTCGAGGAGCCAGCTAGAGCTACAAACATACATCGGTTTGCTCTCAAGCAAGCTTGCACAATTGCCAACCTGCCAGAGACCAACAATGCTGAAGACTCGCCGCCGCAGTGCTCGAGCACACCGCCGCAGCCACCGCTGATGTGGGCACCACCGTGAACTGAGTTAGCGGAGGTGGAACAATCGCGCTCGCCCCTGTACCTAAGCTTAGTGCTGCGCTGGACATCGACGAATTCATGTCCCCACCGACGCCAACCTGAATAGGGGCGGTCGGTGTGGTCACATTTTTTCCTCCGTTTCCAGAGAAACTTTGGCTCTCAGACGCTGATCCGTTTCTGGTACTAGCAGTCACAGACGTTGTCGGTGTAGTCGCTGTGGTTGCCGTGCCGGTGAAGGTGTGAGGATTGGGTGGTATGGTCTTCCCGCCAAAACCGTGGCTGTGGACATGTCGAGTGGGAACAGCTGTCATGGTGAAAGCAGAGGTTGGTGCGAGATCAGTTGCCGTAGAGCCTATACTGCCGTTGCCCGCTCCTTTGCTGATCGTTGTGCCATTCCCAGTGCTACTAGTTGCAGTGATGCTGCAAGCCGTCGCAACACCATTTGCATCGAGCGTGCAAGTGACGGGAATGTTTTTGTTAGGGCAGTTGAGATTGGTGAGAGACTGAAGGAATCGGTTGGCCAGGAAGGTGAAAAGATTTGTGCCAACTGCTGGATCCGCGGTTTGGGCGTTTGTGAGCGCAGTCTGGAATCCAGCTAGGAAAGGAGGCTGGATGGCAACTAAATTGTTGCAATAGTCTGTTGGTGAACCATTATCCGTTTTGGGCCCATTCCCCAAAGGTGGCATGTTAACGCCCAGCCGATAAGCGTTGGTCTTTGAGGTGCTCATCTGGCCGTTCGAAGTGAGGAGGCAGTCGGGGTCATTGAGAGGAGCGAGAGCAATTGGTTCCTGTTGCTGAAGAAGGGCTTGTAGTTCTTGAGAAGCCATGGAGGAGACCATTGTACCAGGGTCGTCGAGGCTGGGAATCCTGAAAGGAGTGCAGCCGATCACAGGATCCACAAAGTCAGCAATCAGAGCTTCGTCCGAAGCATTATCAATCTCTGTAGCTGTGGGAAAGTTGGCTACATTTGCAGCGGTGAACTGGACGGTGCTGCCATCGGCCAGGAGAAGGTACTTGGTGGGCAAATTGTCAGACTGATCCTGGTCAATGATTTCAAACGAACGACTGGACAGACACTGGTTGCCGTTGTTGTCAGTACCCAAAGGAGGAACTATCAGCTTTCCGGCGGCCACAGCAGCATTGGCAGCATCCCAGAAAGCCACCGTGTTGCACCAACTGACTTGACCGAACACATCTCCCTTGGCGCCAGGAAGGCCGTTAACACATTTCAGGTTCTGCAGGACGGGAGATGCATTGCTGTCTTGTCCATTTGCGTCGACGAGTGTCAGTGTGTTGCCATTGAAGCCGAAAAACAGAATCACCTGCGATCCAGCGGCAATGTTGGGAACAACCGGGGCCACTTGAGGCGTTTTGCCTTGATCAATGATCAGCGGATGGTAGACTGAAAGTTGTCCTGTAGGGTCTATAACAGCGGCTTCGGCGAATGCTTGTTGGGCACCAACAGCCTGGGAACATGGGGCCAGTAGCTGCCATGGTGTCGAGAGCCCCGCAGCCGTAAGCGCATTTGCTGGAATTTGCAGTTGACAATCTACTACATTGGGATCTAAGGCTGTGGTGTTTGCCGCTGCCTTTGTGCTGGTAACTGCATGTGACGAGGTCGTGGTCGATGGTGCAACGGCAGGAGTGGTTGTGTTACTGAAGAAGACTGCGGTACCTCGAGGAGCCGCATGAGTGACCGTGGCAAGGAATGAAAAGGCCACTAGGGCGACTGAAGAGAAGCTAGCCATGCTGTGGAGTTGCTGTAAAGAATGTGCTGTGCGGCGTAGCGGCGGGATGGGAAACGATAACGAATGCCAGGCCCAGCCTGGGAGTAAAGAAAGTACTCGGTACAAGGAGAAAAAAAAAAGAAAAGAACGGATGCACAGGGAAGGGCTTTTGCTGGAGAAGGGGGAAACAAGAAGTACTTCACAAAGCATTATAAAGAGCATCAGGCGACGAAGAGAAGCTCCTTGACCGATGGCTGGAACCACCTCGACGAGGTTCACGATGCTGCGTAACGTCGAATCCATTCTCCATAAGGCAGGAGAGTATGGGGATGATTGCATTGGAGATGAGAGGATCAGTCGAAGTCGAATAGTACCCACTGGCTGCATGATTGCCATTGGTATGCATCTTGAAAAGGCTACTGTTTAGGCTGGGGATGCAAGTGCTGATGCAGATTTTTGGATCTGGGTGCCAGCCTTACCGCCTGACGAGTTGGAGAATATGCCACCAATGCCAAGTAGCTCGGTAATGTGGCGTGTTGACCACGGAGCGGGCAAGGGGCGTGGAAATTAAAGTACTCAAGCGATTGTGGTTGTGCTTAGCGAAAGCTTGACCTGTTCTTCATCGGGGTGATGGGAAGAGGAAAGTTCGAGATGGTGAGACGCCAACTGAAACAAGACAATCGCGAATGTCTCCATCCTCAAGCACGTGTAAGAGTAGCCACTAGGTCTCGCCACTGGTGCACTCAAGGGGCCAAATTCATCATCGTCATCCCTTCGGCATCGTACTCTCCACACCGCGTCGTCGTCATTGCCGGGCGCCCTTCTGCTGCGGCAAATATAACCAGGAGGGACAAGAAAAAGGGGATGTTGAAGTTTCGACCGCGTCCTGTCCTTGTTTATCGGCCTTGCACCTCCTTGTCGTAGTCTTTGCTCAATCGCAGAGTGACTTGTTGGAGGCGTGCACTCCGTACTTGGTATACCTCGACGCATTGTCAAGCAGCGGTCCCGCTACCCGGGTTCTGCTGTTTTGGTCCCACGTTCATCCCGGTAGTTGGTCGCTGCAGTCATCGCTGTCTTTTTGTGCCTTCCAGAAGAACCATCCGACGAGGATACCGAATTTCAAACCTGCAGCAAGCCACAATGCTCCCCCCATTCCGGCCGAGGACTTGTACATTTCCCCACCGATGATGCCTCCGAGGAAAAGCGCCACAATGCACGCAGCCCGTCTCTGTTGTTTCCTCTCGCTGACGACAAAGAACTCCCAGAGACTGGCGCTCTTCCTCCACGAATCTCGGATGTTGTACAGGTCGGCGCAGACGTCGTGGTACAAGGCACTCAGGACAATTGTTGGCAGTTCGACGACGGAAAGCAATCTCGAGAGCGTGACTTGCCCTGCGGCCTGGAAGGAGACCAGGGCTATCGGGCACAGGTCGAGGAAATTGATCATGGACGCAGGTATCTCGTCGTTGCCCGACGAAAAAGTACCGGCGACGAACGGTTGGTTCGACACCTCGTTCGTGGATACCAAGCTCGCGGCAATGACAATGAAGACTGTCTGAACAAAAAAGGATACGATGAGGTTGAGTCGTCGGCGAGACGAGAGTGGTGGTTGGCAAACTCGGCCGCTGGGATAGCGATGCAGCGTACTGAAGAACAACGCACCCAGGCAGAAGGCACCGATGGATGTCAGAGACTTGTAATATTGCTGCTTGTGGCTCGCTTTCGGCTGACCACCCAGACCAAGGGCGGCAAAGACGGTGTTGCCTAGGTAAAGAGACACGTCAAAAAGGCTGCTGACCGAGATCATCCTTGAGGTGAGGAGGTTAAGGCGCGTACCAGTCTGCATATTGACAAAACAGTTCCACGTGTTGAACGCCACGCTGTCAATGAGGCCTGAGATGAGGAAGCAGGTTACAAGAACCACACTCATATAGGAGGAATCGAGTTCCTGCAAGAAGTATCTTTGAGAGGCATTTGCCGTTCTTGTTAAGCTTTCCATTCGACCCATTATGCAATCCGCACTTTTGTCAGTTCGCACCGGAGTCTCTGTGGATTGAGGCGTCGGTGACAATGGATCGAGTTTCATCTTTTTTAAATGGAGAAGGGACCTATCACCTTTACATGTGCCAGGGACGAGCATGCATTCATCACCGAGCAAAAGGCGCCAAGGAAGGCCGTTTGTTCAACGTCGGATGGACTCTCTGTGTCACAAAAGCTCGGCCAGAGTTGCGATCTCTCTTATTCGGGAAGATGGATGGTATGTTGTGCAGCGTGGGAGAGCCGTTGCGCTGACATCCGCAGATAAAGGCATGTTCCGTGGCTTCTACGGTCAATCTGAGAGTGTGGCCAGGATGGTGACGGTGAGCCAGTCCTTGTGTTGACAAAGCTACATGCTGGTCGCCACGCCATGAGTCCTTTGGAGGAGAGTGAGACAGTCCTCCTCGTCCCTAATGGAACACAGAAAGCTGACCACATAGCATAGTCTCGATAGCCCTAAAACTTCCCAGATCTTCTCCTGCTACCTAGTAGCCCAGCTCTCTTACAACTCGATTCTACCGCCCTGTGCCGCCTTCCGTATTCCTAAACCTATGTGAATCCAGTCGGACAATATTTGGTGAAATGAGATGGACCCACAATGTCGTACGACCGTCTGCGAGATGAGATAGCGTGGCGACGTCTTGGTGATGCGTTTTCGAACGAACTCCCAGCATCCACATATGATCACAATGACCCGAGGTTCAGAGAAAAGAGCAGAGCAACGCTGGAGAAACCAGGGTATCGTGTCGATGAATGAGGCTTGCCAATGGCGAAACATCCAAGCAAAGCTTTCAGCCCACTCCCTCTTCCTGACACTAGTGGAACCGCCCTCCTCTTGCACGATAAAGTTCATCCAATGCTGGGGGGAGCATGTCGACAGCAGGCAGAGCAGGGTCTCCGAAACCATAAGGGGCAATCGCCCATCGCATCTCGAGAAAGACGAATTACATTACGAAGGCTGGGTATCGAGAGAAGTATGAGCAAATGTCAGACTCTTAGTCTCTAGACAGCTGCAGTAAATGTGCATTAATCTGCTCCTAGTTCAACGTCAAGAGATATCATCATTGCGACGACAACTGTTTGGAAAGAATAGCCAAGTCCTCTGTCGCACACAAAATCTTCTATGGTCTTGACCAGTTGGGAGAAACATTCATCCGCGTCGATGCTGAGAACCTAGGTTTTGACATCTGGCTCGGTTCTGCCAATGAATTTCTGGAGTTGCAAGAGTTCAATGGCAAGTCCGACCGATCCCTTGAGATAGGCCTGCGTGTCTTCGCCAAGCTTGTTCTTGTCCTCCTCGAGCTTCTCGACGTAGAGACGGATGGTGGCACCGCTGCTGCCCGTACCCGATAATCGAACGACAGCTCTCGTGCCGTCGTCGAATTTGAAATAGATACCTTGATTCTTTGACACCGAACCGTCTAGATCGGTGTATGAGAAATCGTCCGCTTCTACAATCTTGCGGCCTTGAAGCTCTGAACCAACAGTGTCGGACTTTGCAATCTTTTCTTTGAGATACTTGACCATGTCATTGGCTCCGTCGCTGCTCACATTCTCGTAGTCGTATCGTGTGAAATATACGCGGCCATACTCATGCCAGAATTCCTTTTGAATCTCAGCAATGGACGGGAACTTGCCGGTTTCTTTCCCCACACCCGCAATGATGTTGAGCCAAGCAGTGATGGCCCACAAGCCGTCCTTTTCTCGGATATGATTTGAGCCGGTGCCAAAAGACTCCTCACCGCAGATCGACATCTTGTTGGTATCGAAGAGCGCGCAGAAGAACTTCCATCCGGTGGGCACGACATAGAGGCTCAAGTTCTGCTTCTTGGCCACAAGGTCGAGTGCTGCCGAGGTGGGGAAAGACCTTGCTAGACCGTAGACACCCTGCTTCTTGAAGTAAGGAATGTATTTTTGAGCGTAGTGGGCAATGATAGCCAAGGAATCACCCGGCGAGACGAAGGCATTCTTGCCATAAATCATGTTCCTGTCACCGTCGCCGTCCGAAGCGGCACCAAAGTGGATACCCTCCTTATCAACTCTTTCGACCAAAGAATGGGCGTAGGTCAGGTTCGGGTCTGGGTGACCGCCGTTAAAGTCGGGGCTGGGCTGGCAATTCTGGGTGCTTTCAGGCCCCAAGCCAAGCTCCCCTTGAAATATGGCGACGCCATAGGGACCAGTGACACCGGAGAGGCCATCAAAGAGAACTTTGAAGTCGGGCTGAGACCCGAAGAAGGACCGGATGAGGTCGAAGTCGAAGATGTCCTTCAACATAGCCATATAGTCCGCTACAGAGTCGATGATCTCGACTTCCAGGTCCCCATACTTCTTGGTGCCGATTGTGGACAGGTCCACTTCGGGAATGTCTGCAATTTTGTATGAAGTAAGGGACTTTGACTTTTCAAAGATCTTGTTTGTGACGGATTCCGGGGCAGGGGCACCATTGGAGAGGTTGTACTTCATGCCGAAGTCTGCTTTAGGGCCTGGGTCATGGTTAGATGTAGGCTCGGCAATGCTCGACGTCTCTTGACATACCACCGGGGTTGTGACTGGCAGTGAGAAGAATACCACCGGTGGCCTTTCTGATGCGAATGACGTGGCTGGCAGCTGGAGTGCTCAGGATGCCGTTCTGGCCGATGAGAAGCTTCTTTACACCGTATGCAGCGCCAATCTTCGCAATCAGCTGGACCACTTCGGGATTCCAGTATCGCCCATCACCACCAATGACGAGAAAGGCACCGGCTGCACCTTCGGGAATCGACAGGAGGATCGAGGTGATGAAGGACTCGCTGTAGTGAGGCTGTTGGAAGACGGTGACCTTCTTGCGAAGTCCTGACGTACCAGGCCTGGGGGAAAAGGAGTTAGAAAATAGTTGTCGCTGATGGTTCTCGTCTGAAGCTTACTTCTGGTCGGCGAAGGGTTTGAATTGGACTTCTTGCACGTTTACCATTATGGTGATCTGCTGAACGGGTCGCTAGATTGAAGGGACAAGATCTGGCTAAATGAGTCTGTGAATAGCTCGACAAGAAGCGACAGGCAAAGTGATTGTGAAGGAAGTTTCAAAACTGCATCAAGTTGGCTGGAGGGAAAATTTGGGGCACTGAAGATTCCCCTTAACTGCCAACGTGGAAAATGAAGCAACGACAAGAATCGCGGGGCAATAGCAAGCGACCTTCAACAAACCCTTCTGACCCTGCAGGCGATACGTCATGGCTCAACTCGCCCGTCCATGCTCTCATTTCTCCGATCAGTCAGTCACAACTTCTGATTGGCGGACTCAGCCCACCCAAGCTCGACATCGCTCACACCACTCTAAACTCTGGTCTTGCATGCTTCGTATCGTCCCTAATAGCCTGCATCGTGAACAGTCAACGGCGGCTTGCTAAGCTAATGCTAGTGAAGTGTGTGGTCCCAAGCTATCAAGACCAGATGGTGGAGCTGCAGCATGCCATAACATTTGATAAGTTTCATCCACCAAGGCCGATAAAGCAGAAAGTGCATGACGATGGCCTTTTTGGGCCTTTTAGAATCAATATCTCGGACCTGTTGTTTCTGAAGTGCATATATTCTAGTTGCGTATGCTCAAGAGAGACCCGCCCAAAAGACACGATTCCTATTTCCCTGCATTATAGGGCTTGATGCATATATTCGCATTTGGACTCCAAGAGGCCTTTGGGAACTGGTTTCTGCGGTTTGTATTGTGTCTGTTTTAGGTGAAAAGCGCTCCGTGCGTGGTAACAAATCAAATGTAGCACCCTGAAACTTCTATGTCATACCGATGTAAGATCGCTTTGTGTGAGCGGCTTTGGCATCCCAGGGACACATCGGCTCTCTAAAGTCAGGGCAAGTTTACCGAGTAACAGCAGGGACAGCCCGTGCTTCATATTGGGGTTGAATGTGCCGGATTACTGACCGGTACCTGTGTCCTCCTGCCGACGTAAATAGTGACTACTGGTAGGTGCTCGGTGAGTGGTGACAGGATGCAGCCAGCCTCGTCTCTCCGCAGATTCACCAGGCTGAGTCTATCCGGATTGGGATTGGCGCCGGCTTGGCGGTTCTGCCTCGTCAAAGAAAGTCACGGCGGCGGCAGGAGCCTCTACAAACTCGGCCCAAGAGTAAATTAAGTTGGTGACCTCTCTTCATCCACACTGTCAGTCCAGACATTTTCATTACTTGCGTTCAAAAGCCCCATTCCTCTGAATTCGAACCAGCCTTGCCACTCATTTGAGCATCGTCTCCCCCCCATCGCGTGCGCCGTTCCTCCGATAGCTCACCGTTCCTTGCCGAGTCTGCGGAGCAGGCAAGCCCTCCTATTCACCAGCGTGCTGCATGCACAATAGACCTCAAGTGGCGAAAGCGCCGCCATACTGGTGACTGTAGCGTCTGTCTTTCAGAAGAGTCGGATTCAACTTTGGCGAAGCACAGTTGTGTCTCACGAATTATATCGGAGATTTGTTCTCCGCCATCTCTGTGCGCAGAGAGCGGAGAATCGACGTTCACTTTAAGGGGTCTTTCGATTTCTGATTGCCACCATGCCCTGCTTCAAAGGCCTCGCTGTGAGCATACACACTCCCAATGGGCCTTTGCCAGAATACTCGGTACAGAGAACCTCTCGACTCTCGAGAATCAGTGCCTACATCCCGGTGCCGCCTGCGCAAATTCCCGCCGACTCTCTGACCGGCAAACCCGAACAATCGACTTTCGCCATTTCTATTACCCTCCTCACTCCTGGCCAGGAAGTGCCATACTCCACTCCAAAGGCTACACCAGATAATCCTAATCCCAAACCTAAACTTGTTGGAGGACTTCCTGGCCACACAAGCGATCGAGGAAAGTATGCAAGCTCTGTTGGACCTTATGTCCCCTTGACAACTTCGCCGAACGAAACTATCGCCGCCTACATCTACTTCGATGGCCGAGCCAAGGAGGAAGTTGCAACACTGCTAAGGAAGGGTGAGGAGACCTGGGTCAATTCTCGATGGGTCAGTGTCCCCGAGAAAGAGGGAGGCGGGTTGGCAGAACGAGAGTTTTTGTTTCGTGAAGTTGGCC